GCCGCGCGAATTTTGAATGAGTGTGTCGTTCCGGGGCGTGACATTACGAGGTGGGGCGGGGTGGGGCGCGTGCGTGGGCGTGAACGTTGAGCCGAGTCGGCGGTGGTGGGGGGTAGGGGGCGGGAGGGAGACGATACGAAGAAGCCAGGCGATCAAATCGCCCAGAGAATTGAAAATTCTAAGTCTATAAAATATATTTATAGAGCCGAGTGTGTGCGTATGGTGTGTGTGTGTGTGTATGTGTGCATGCGATAATGTGCGAACGTCGGAGCGGGGTTGCATTACGAGCGGAAGTTACTAAAATGGGAAGGGGGATGAGGGCGTGGGAAGATGGTGGCGAACGGAGGCGGTAGAATATATAAATACGATAGCGTCGAGCGGGATGGTATAGATGTTGATTTGGAAACGCGAGGGGGGAGGGGAACGGGACGCGAAAATGAGAGAGAAAAAAAATGAAAGGAAAACCGGAAGGGTGAAAACCGGAAAGGAGGAGGGGGTCGGTGTGGACAGCGACGGGGCGACGGACGACCGTATGTTCTATCAGTATTCTATCGAAGAAAGGGGGAGGACGTTAGAGCGGAAGCGTTTGATTCGAAGCGAGAGGGATGATGAAACACACACACACACGTGAAAATCGTGTCGGCGATCGGACGATTCCGATCGGACCCCATCGATCGAAGCTGCTGAACTGTCCCCATGGACGAATGTAAACCGCGCGTAACACGGCTAAAAAAAGAGATATGCGAGAAAGAGAAAAAGATACTATAAATATTATATATATATATACATATGACACAAAAAAAGCATATATATATATATACAAATTATACATATAAAAATGAAGGAAGAAAGAAGCAACTATCGTTGACCGCTATATCAAGCAAGTAGATATATTATATTGAAGAAAAAAAAAAGGTATATATATATACATATATACATATGTATATGTATATATATAGTAGCGTGTCGGTATAATTATTAATGATTTGTGAACGCGTGTCGCGGCGCGTCGACGCTAGGGGGATATCCATTGACCGCTTATGCGAACCAGGATAAATTAACTAGAGGAGAAAATCATCGACCGAGAGAAGAGGGGGGAGAATGCGATTGCGTGGAAAAAAAGAGGGGGGCGGATGGGGCGGGCGATGCGAGAAGTATATGCGTCGCGACGCGTCCGAAGAAACGAAACTCCACGGACGTGTTCCCGACGAGGTGGTGACCAGTGTCAATTGTAAATGCGTTCGAATTTGCCGCCGTCGCCTAGGGACTTTCCCGTACGGCGTGGCAGCCTGTCGCTACTCTGTTCAGTACGACTGCACTTTGCTTGTTAAGATGAAAACCACTCCCGACAATCGACAGAACTCGAACGACTCTTCCATTCGTCTTTCGCGTGGCGGCGCTAGTTACTTTGTAATGATAATAACGATAACGATAACGATAACGATAACGATAACGATTTACCGATTAGTTGGCAAGCTCGTGGGAATGATCGGTGGCGATCGGCAAAATCGGACGCAGCCCTAAGAAAGTGTAAGAGCGCAGAATTACAAGTAGTCCTTAACACCAAAGAGCAGTAGGGAAGGGAGGGGAAGAGAGGGGGAGCAAAAAAAGAGAGAGGGAGAGAGAAGCAGAGTGGCGGAAGTAACGAGCTGGAATTTCCTGCAATAGAACAGATTTAGATCAATTAAACGGAGACTCCCAGTAGGTAGACTTAAATATTCGTAATTATTCGCTGTCTCGCGTGTCCTATTCGTTTCCGGTTGGTTTTCTTCTTTCGTCGAATTTCGACGCCCACGGGAATACATATTCGGTTCGGTTCCGGTCGAGCACGCACGGGCGACGAGGCATCTTCGCTTTCAAGGACTGACTTTTTTATGTCGTTCTAAAGAATAATTATAATAGGGATAACGGTAACGATAATAATATTATAAATACTACGTAACGGTAATATAAAACGATAGGAATGATAAACGATGCGCGTTCGAATTGCTAAGAATAATAATACTAATAATAACATTAATAATAATAATAATAATACTAATAATAATAATTACGTACGATTTAAGGCATACGTCCACCCGTCGTGCTCACGCCGCCGTCTTTTCTTTTACCCCCACCCCTGCGGAAGGGCTCGACCGTACGTCCGACGACGGTCGTCGATCACCGACGATGATCGACCGTCTTTCGCCCGGTTGCAACGATGCAGATCCGACGATTCGCCTCGTCCGCGCGTCGCGGTGAAACGGGTAAACGCCGCGAGCCAGTCGATCGCCCGTCTCGTTCGCCGAGAACAGGGTTGCCAACCTTCGGTTTTCCATGATCGAGCGCTACCAACGGCGCCGGGGGAAGCTCGACAGGGAGTTCCCCGGACTGCCGATATAATAAACTAACGAACAATCGGCGCGAACGAACCGGCGAATCGACGAGGATCGATCGACCGGGGATTCGTCGTGCTGAAAATCCAGGGTTTCCTTTATTTCCATTATTTGCCGGTTCACGGGCTGCCAATGCTCGAGAGTCCGAACCAACGGAGCGCACCGGGCGCGCTTCGCGGACTGGAGTCTAGGGGGGTACGATTCCCATGGGGTTTTTCTTTCCTAGGGACACGCGGTGTTCTTTCGTTGTTTCGGTCGGGGTTTCGGAACGGCGAGCCGTTCAATTCTCGCTCGGGACCGCGAGCGCAGGGTCCGAGAACGACGAGATCCGGTCGACGTTAGGCCCACGCTGATCCAATCGCGGCCGGTCGCCGATTATAAATCAATAGTAGGATATAGTAGAGCGTAACGATTTCAGAGAGGTAGTACTACCGTTGTTCCGTTGATTGTTTTCATAGATTTTATTGTGCCGTGACCGCATCGCGTGCCCTCTTGCTGAAACGTTCGGTTCACCCAGCTGCGAATGCCGATGCAAACGACTGCGGTCGGTTCTCCCTAATCGACGCTTATATCGGACAGAAAAATGAACAATTCGGGAGCAGGAGGGATACGATTGTTCGAGCCTCGCGGCTCGTTTATATAGCTAACGATTGTCGACGACTGTGTCGTCCCAGATTGTCCATTTTCGTGGACAAGCCGAGCGTCGATTCAGGAGAATTTACTGCATACTTTTGCCGACTAAATTGTTTCCCTTTAGCGAGCTTGTCGAAGAGGCGTTCGCGTGATCCGATCTCTCGCCGTTCTCACCGTCCGTCGACGGATTACGTGAGAACGCGCGCCGACTTAGGACAAATTCCCCCTAAAATTCGACGCGTCCAACGATCATTCTTCCCGTAACCGGGGGGAACTCCTCGCCGCGGTGTGGAGAGCCAGTCAATTAAAAGAACGATCGCGAGATGAGCTTCTAGAAGCGTGCAAAAGATCCTTTCGTCCGGTTGATTTATCAAATTGATCAGTATTAGACAGCAATCCTGATTGAACGCGCACGCGCGCGCGCGCACGTGTTTCGTTTCACAGAGCATCGCCGTCGATCGGGCCGATGCCGCACGGCGATCGAACGATCCGTAATTCCGTCGATTAATCAGGCCCCGGAACAATCCCGAACCAACGAGATCGCCCGCGCAAGCGGAGGCCGTTCGGTCGCGCGAGCGGTTTCCCTGCTCTTCGATCGATCGGCCGATGCACCGGGTGGGATCGGCGCAGCGTGCAAAATTCCGCGGCAAATTAGCGAGATTCTTGATCGCGAGCTCCCACGGGACGCGGCCACGCCTAGCCAGGACTATTTTTCTAAGTTGCAAAGTATAATAAATTAACTAAGATGTTGCATTATCGTTACATAGAGTATATTATAATGTATATTGATATTTTAACTAGCTGAAGTAAGTATGAGACAATGTTACAAGCGTAGTAGTGACGGGGTGGGTGGGTGGGGGGAATGAGTAAAATTGTAGATAACAAAGTTTTGCGATCGTGAACGGTCGACTGTGCCCGTGCCGATTCGCACGCACGTGACGCGCCGCGACGCGCAACGCCACGCCGTTAGCCGGATGCTGATTAACAAAAAGTAACAAAAAAAAATGATAAGAGAGAGGGAGAGAGAGAGAGGGAGAACGCTCGGTGAAAGAATTAGTGTCGGGTGGAGGGGGACGCGAAACAATTCTTCGCGAGTCGACTGACACCGAAAACCAGTTCCAGTCTCGATCGATTCGCGATCCAGGATCGCCGGACAGGGACGTGGATCCACGATGGAAAACATTGAATCCGTGACGCGATCGCGCCGAGACTGGAACCGCACGAACGGGCGTAAACGAGTGACGGATATGCGTGGACGAGTGTGTGTGCGAACGAAAGAATACAATCGCCGGCGTGATCCAATGCCGGGGAAACAGAGAGAATTAAAATATGAATCGTTCTGTCAGTCACCTCACCTATATTATACAATGTAATAGTACTATGCTGCCATATGATATAAATACATGTCTACGGTAAGGAGTATATTACTAAAACATTATGAATAAATATGTTATAAGTATGCCGTCTCGTAGTCATCTCCCCTCCCCTCTCAAACGTCCCCCTTCTTCGAGCCTTCGTTTCATTTTGAACCAGCAGCAACGCGATGGAAGGTAAGATTAACCCTTGGATGACGGGCGCCGGGTCCGTTTTGACCCGGAGTCACAAAGATTCCATCTGAACGCTAACTTCGTGGCGATTATTCGTGATCATCGGCTATTAATATAGAGTCGAATAAAAGAATCGATTGCGGTCTCGATGAAACGGTTTTAAAAATATACAGATAAATATTAAGACCGTAAAGATTCGAATGGACCTAGCCATGGCTGCCATAACTACTGACAAAATGTCCGTCGGACGTAGGATTAATCCCAGTTCAAAAGCTGGCTAAAATGTGTTGCACTTCGGCGTCGCCGCTGGTTCCGCGATACATATTCGAATTGCGCGCGGTTTTTCCTAGTTCGCGAATTTCCCGTCGGATCGCTGTTCAAGGTTTTTCCTAGTTGCGAATTTTCCCGTCGAAGGATTTCCCGAAAATGGCGGCACGTTGGCCGAGGAACCAGTAGAAAAGCATTCGAAGTTAGAGAAACACGAACGGCGATATGATTCTCTGGTGAAGTGGTCCATAACCTTAAACTTTTCCTCGAAATTGTGAATGATATTTTTTAAGGGAACTGAACACGGGTGTAGCATTATATTTTTGTACGCTTTGTAACCGTTTTCGAGCGAATTTCTTAGTAGACGGTCCGTTGCTTAGTACTTAACGTTGAAACTCGTCGAGCAAATTAATCGGCGATATACAAAGGTTATGAGTGAGTTTCATCAATTATTTACGCGAGAATGTATTTTTTATTTACATCTATTTCCGCGTCTTGTATCGCTCGCCACGGCTCCGTCGGATCGCGTCGCTCTTCTTAAGAACAACGTCGAAATTATCTTATCGTTTTTCGTTTCAGACGTACCCACTGTGTGTAGCAGCAACGTACACAACTTATCTTGTGTTCTATTATGAAGCGGCGTCAAAGAAGACCTGTTTTGGAACTGAATCAATCGCAGGCTGGCTCGCACGGCGATCATGTACAAAGTAATTCATTGTAACGATTGTTTTGGCTTGAATAAATAAAATAGTTGTGCGTAAACAATTTTCGAATCGTGTTATCATAAAAAAAAAAAAACGAACATGTCTGCACATTTAGATAAACGAAAACAGGCTCCACTCGATTACCATGGGCCGAATGTACCCGGAAATCCACTGGCAAATTTACTTTGCCATTACAACTCTGACAGCGATACTGAGGATACCAAGAAGGACGTTTGCAAGTTAGATGACCAGGTCAATAACTTCCTTAAAGTAAGTACATCTATCTACAAGTTTGTTTAATATTTATCGTGTACATATAAAATAATATTATAAACGTTCGATTCTCAGGAAATACAGCTAATCGCACCCAAACAGCCGATAGCAAATGAGTTTGGTAACGCTGTCATAAACTCTAATGCCCAGTTGCCACACCATATCAGCCAGCAAGCGTCGAGTAAGCTTCAACTATCGAACTGTTTCTCTAATTTGGAAGTTCACAGCTCTAAGTTTGCTGTTGTTTCAGTGTGGAGAGAGTGCATAGACGAATCTTCTGGCTACCCATACTACTGGCACATAGAGACCAACGAGGTAACATGGGAAATGCCAGAGGAATTGCGGTACATGAAGAACAACATTAAAGCAAGCCCAGCCATGAAACCTCATTCCATGCAAGACTCTCATTGGGTCGATTTCTCCGCCGTCGCATGTAACTATATGTCGAACCCCGCTGTCCCCCGCGTCCAAATAAACATAAACTTGTCAACCAACCGAGAACAATCTTTCTGTTAGACCAATCGCACGAAAACATACCGGAAGGTATGATACCAAGAGAAGTGGTGGCTCGAAATCGTAATAGGTACATTCACAACGAGACCGCCAAGAAACAGGAGCCGCCGGCCGATCAGGACGTCGCGAACACGTCTGACACGATGGACAACGAGTCCGACGACGGGTATATAGCCGAAATCAGCCGCTAACATTTCTACGAACGTTACTTTCATATTAATCGAGAAACTGTTGTTACAGAAAAATCGAGATGATAACGTCTTACGGATCCGAAGAGAGTGACTCGGACACCGCGGACGAAGGCCAATCGAAGGACGAGCCTGTAACAGGGTCTACGGCTGAACCGCTCAACCCAAATTTGACGGCAACATCGAAAGCCGAAGCATTCATCTCGACCGCGACTGTGAAACACCCCCAATTGCTGAAGGCGTCACAGGCGTTGGACCAGGACTCTCGAGACTCCTCGGATAATCCGAAGACAGATGGTTCGGATGCAAAGTCTGTTGAAGAGAAGGACGCGAAATACTTGAAGAATCAAGTGAAAGAGTCCGAGGAATGCGTCGAGAGGCTTAGCGACGGCCGACCTGCTAAGGACCTTAAGGCTGGGGTGACGGATGGTGTTAACAAAAGCAACCCTGGCGCCGATTTCGACTTCCGCGTGTCCCTGGTACCCGGTTACGACGAGGATTCCGACCCTGAGGAGGAGCCCGAGGTCAGGCAGGAGAGGAAGGCTCTGTTCCCAATCCCCCAAACAGAAGAATCGACGGACAGCGCCACCTCGAGGTCGCATCGGATACCAGAGAGCAACGACACCGACGGCAACGGCGACAGGAGAAACGTTCAGGAGCCAGACAACGAAGTCTCCGAGAAAGGGGACAGCGGCGAGGAGTCGGTTTTAAAGCCGGAGGACGACGGACAGAAAGCGAACAAGTTCTTGGACAACCTGCACGGCAGGAGCAAGTTCTTCCAAAGGAAGAAGCGGATCGCGTTCGATGGTAAGGATACTCGTGTTAATCTGTCGCCAAGGTGGATTCAGAGGAGTGGTTCTTTCAGTCCCATCCACGAAGAAGAAGCCGGCGGACAAGGACGAGGCGAAATCGGAGCCCGAGATACAACAGGAGGAGACAAGCACGTCCGACAGTGCAGAAAGGACCGATGAAACCCGAAGCGAGCATCAGGAGGATGCGGTTAATGTAACGCCTGAAGATAAGACAGAGGATGCTGTGGATCCCGCGGCGGAGTCCGGTAAAGTCGAAGAAGAGACCGTAGCGCCGATCGAGACAACTGCCGACGCAAAGGAGGACGAGGGAGAAGTGGCGCTGCTGTCGCAGATCATTCTTGAGAAACTGAAGTTTCTGTCCGAGGGGAAGCCCACTGTGTCCCCGGTACAGATGATGTCTATCCAGCTTCAGGTGAGCTTGATTTAACCCTTTCTATAAAATGAAAATAAGCCCAGGAATTGGAGTGAAAGTAGCTTTGAGTGCAAAGAGTTATTACGGCAGGGGAAACCCTGCTTTTGATTTCAAGAGGGTAAACCTCCACATTGGGCCCCAAAGGAACAACCAAATATACAGGGTGTCTCAAAAATGTCTCGTAATACGGAAATGGAGGGTTCCTGAGATCATTTGAAGCAACTTTTTCCTTAGCGAAAATGCAAACCGCGGCTTCGTTTACGAGTTATCAACGAAAATCAGTGACCGATGAAGGGCGAGATCTGCTGGCGCGAGACGGCCGAGCCAATGAGCGGAGCTGGGCTTCGCGCTCGACCGCCTCGCGTCAGCAGAGCTCGCTTCTTATTGGTTGGCGTTTTTCATTAATAACTCGTAAACGAAGCCGCGGTTTGCATTTTCGCTAAGGAAAAAGTTACTTCAAATAACCTAAGGAATCCACCGTTTCCGGATTGCGAGACATTTTTGGGACACCCTGTAGAACCCCATTCCCCATAAAATAGGGGACCCCCCTTATTTTAGCTCCACCGATCACAGAAATTGTTGTCTTCTGTTGCAGACATTGTTTGTGGCGTGGGAAGGAGGTTACTTAGAAAAGAGTTACTTGCGTAGGTGGTTGACTGAGACCAGTCACGAACTGGAACGCTTGGAACAAGACGCGGCACCACCGGGATGGCTTTGTCAGTGGGATAGGTATAGTATACGATCTAAAATTTGTGTATTATCTCGTACAAATAAACATGACTCGTTCCATACAAAACATCGTGGTATGTTATACACATCACTGCTCTATGAGTCTTCAGTCACCGCTACAGAGACGTGTTCATACATTCTATGTATAATAACGCCTTTTAGTTCTTGATTCGTTTGTCGAGTTCTCGTTGAGGATCAATCAAATCGCGCCGATCGTTTCGTACTTTGATATACAAACGTGTTACGAACGTGTTTCATTTTCTACTTTGATTGCTTTTCGTTTCTTTTTTTCCCTTTTCATGCCAAGTCGAAGAATTGCCATTTTCTCGGGCTCTTTGAAAACTATCCAATGAATCGGACGAATCGTGTACCGCCACCGAGGGTTTAATCAACATGATTTTTATCAATTTCAGAGTAATTGTTGTAAAGCTCGATCTAAAAAAAGAAAAAGAAAAAAGATTTAGTAGATTCACGGTAATGCAAATTTGATTCATTTAGAGAGAACGAAAAAAATTCTATATGGAAAGAGAGAGAGAGACCGCGGTAAAATTCGTTTTTTCAAATGATTCGATTACTGGAGTAACACGTAGATAGAAATGTGTTCAGAACGGGCGCCCTTCAAGAGCATACGTGTACACCGTCGTACGCGCCGTGTGCGTTAGAGCTGTGCGCCAAAGAATTTCGTAGAAGATTCAAGAATGATCGATCGACGGGAATATGGCGCAAAGTGTAGAGACAATTCCATTTNATACAGGGTGTCTCAAAAATGTCTCGTAATACGGAAATGGAGGGTTCCTGAGATCATTTGAAGCAACTTTTTCCTTAGCGAAAATGCAAACCGCGGCTTCGTTTACGAGTTATCAACGAAAATCAGTGACCGATGAAGGGCGAGATCTGCTGGCGCGAGACGGCCGAGCCAATGAGCGGAGCTGGGCTTCGCGCTCGACCGCCTCGCGTCAGCAGAGCTCGCTTCTTATTGGTTGGCGTTTTTCATTAATAACTCGTAAACGAAGCCGCGGTTTGCATTTTCGCTAAGGAAAAAGTTACTTCAAATAACCTAAGGAATCCACCGTTTCCGGATTGCGAGACATTTTTGGGACACCCTGTAGAACCCCATTCCCCATAAAATAGGGGACCCCCCTTATTTTAGCTCCACCGATCACAGAAATTGTTGTCTTCTGTTGCAGACATTGTTTGTGGCGTGGGAAGGAGGTTACTTAGAAAAGAGTTACTTGCGTAGGTGGTTGACTGAGACCAGTCACGAACTGGAACGCTTGGAACAAGACGCGGCACCACCGGGATGGCTTTGTCAGTGGGATAGGTATAGTATACGATCTAAAATTTGTGTATTATCTCGTACAAATAAACATGACTCGTTCCATACAAAACATCGTGGTATGTTATACACATCACTGCTCTATGAGTCTTCAGTCACCGCTACAGAGACGTGTTCATACATTCTATGTATAATAACGCCTTTTAGTTCTTGATTCGTTTGTCGAGTTCTCGTTGAGGATCAATCAAATCGCGCCGATCGTTTCGTACTTTGATATACAAACGTGTTACGAACGTGTTTCATTTTCTACTTTGATTGCTTTTCGTTTCTTTTTTTCCCTTTTCATGCCAAGTCGAAGAATTGCCATTTTCTCGGGCTCTTTGAAAACTATCCAATGAATCGGACGAATCGTGTACCGCCACCGAGGGTTTAATCAACATGATTTTTATCAATTTCAGAGTAATTGTTGTAAAGCTCGATCTAAAAAAAGAAAAAGAAAAAAGATTTAGTAGATTCACGGTAATGCAAATTTGATTCATTTAGAGAGAACGAAAAAAATTCTATATGGAAAGAGAGAGAGAGACCGCGGTAAAATTCGTTTTTTCAAATGATTCGATTACTGGAGTAACACGTAGATAGAAATGTGTTCAGAACGGGCGCCCTTCAAGAGCATACGTGTACACCGTCGTACGCGCCGTGTGCGTTAGAGCTGTGCGCCAAAGAATTTCGTAGAAGATTCAAGAATGATCGATCGACGGGAATATGGCGCAAAGTGTAGAGACAATTCCATTTGGCATTGAGTCAACGAGAAAAAAGAAACAAGCCTGTCGACTTAAGCCTATCAGCGAAGCCAGAAAGTCGGTTCGGTAAACCGTGCTAAGAAACAGGTACTGTAAAGTAAGAATCGGAAGACCGCATCAGGATTCAAAATGGAGGAATATGTAGCAAGACGCCGCAGAATGATCGAAAACTCGGAGCCAGAGGCTGGCGACTAATCGTTACGAGAGTCCCAATGAAATTGACACACACGGTGCCTGTACGGAGTTACCGAAGGAAACTCGAGATTTCGAGAGAAGCTGGTTGCCGAGAAAGGACAGAAGGGAATATCGGTTGCAGACAGGGGGCGGCGGATGTAAGCTGAAAGTAACGATCCGCTTTTGGAGATCCACGACACACGTTACACGTACTCGTTTTTCTTTCTGTAACTGTCTCACGAACCCACCAGGCTCGGCTATTTCATTCTGTAAACGTGTTTCCGTATATACCTTTACTTTTTACTGTCACCCAGAGCGTTTCGTTTAATCAAAGCATTTCGGCAAACAATTCCTTCTCCGTCTCGTCTAATAACGAAGTGCCGTGATACAGTTGTTCTCCCAGTGTTCCCGGTCCACGGAGACAGAGAGACAAAGAGAGAAAGACAGAAGGGAAGAAGAAAAAAACAAGTAGAATGGAAAGCGGAAAAGCCAAATTGCAAAACAGACAAAGATCATCCCGACTCGCACGATCCCTCAAATACTCATATATTATAATTCGCTTAATTTCGCCTAGCGTAACGCTGACGTTCGCCGACGTATACTTTCGGTGCTCGTGTTGCGGAAGAGAGCGCCTCGCTATGTAACCGCTAAGTAACACTTAATCCTTTATGTAATATAAAGGGGGTCTCGCTGAGTAAATGCCACGCCGAGTCCGCAGGTAGGAGTATTAACTGATATTTGTTTCCTAGCAAGTAAGTCGCTTTAGAACTCGCTGGGACGTCCCTCTCACGGACCAACGTCCCTCGAAAGTTTGTCTGTCAATGTAACACATGCAAGTAAATTCATCCTGCGCCTCGGCTGTTCTACATTCCCCGGTGGGCTTTTTTCCAGGTCGCATAAACGATATTATTACCAGAACACTGCCACCGGAGTGACCCAATGGATCTATCCGGACACTGGTATCGCCGGTGGCGCGGAGGAAATGGAGATTTGCTCGACGCCTCCACCGATGGAACAGGACGAGATGATTGCCACAGGTGCGGATCCGTTGCCTTTTATACTTAGAACGAGACATCTGACCCGGTACTTGATCGTTGATCGCTTTACTTTCCGTGTGCAGCAGCGGAAGAGGAAGGACTGAAGCCAAAACCAAAGAAGCAACCGGAAGACAACGACGCGGCCGACGACGCAGGGCCAAGGAATTCTGACGTGGAAGCTCCGCCGCCGCCGCAGATCTCCAACCCGAGCCCGCCTCCGCCGCCGAGAATATATGGGAACGACATGAAAAAGGACAAAAGGAAACGGGACAAGGGCAGCGACACCTTGGACAGTAAAAAGCAACGAAAAGGTGAATGTTCTATCGCCTGGATTGCGACGCTGCGGCTGAGACTGAAGCGATCTGATCTTTTTCACAGAGGGTGCAACGATCGCGGATGTGAACCACCTGGAGACCGCAGTGATACCTTCGCATTCGGCAACCGCGCTCTCGCCACAAGCCACCGCCCTTACGAATATAGGGAACGTGACCAACGTAGAGCCCCTGCCACCTGGCGTCGACTTGACGGAAGCGCCTTACGAATTGCCAGCCCTGAAGAGGATCATATACGGTGCTGTACAGACTCAGGGTAGTGCGTTGTACGATGCTGCTGCCAGGGACCCAACGGTTCCCATCTTGGGTCACCCGGCAGCCATAGTGCAGGAGCACTACCTTCAGTATCCAGCTTACCAGCACTTGCATTCTGTGAGTTGTCGCGCGACGAGGTCCGCCTTCGTGGATTTTATTTGATCAGTGTCGTATTCTGTTCGGACAGCCTGCAGCCTTAGTACTTCCCCACAAGCACGGCGTGCAGCCGACGATCCAGATCATACCGGACTACACGCCGATCTACACGAACCACAAGGTGATCGAGAAACCACCCATCAAGACGGCCAAAGAATCCCTGGTGTCCGCGCTGGACTCGTTCTACAGCGACATCGCCCGTATCGAGAGCAGCCGACCGGAGAAAGCGCCCCAGAGACAAGACACCGTGACGACAGAGTCGTCTTTGCCAGTCGAGGAAGCTAAGGTGGACATGGACCTGGAGACTCTGCACTCTGAAGCTACCATGAAGGAGAAGAAGAAAAAGAAGGTAAATACATTCGGATCGGCTGAGCGGTCAAGTCAGATAATAAGATTTAACTAATAATAATTTATATTTTAATAATAATTCCATATTTTTCAGGCGAGGATCGGGATTAGCAAGAAACATAAGGAGGTCTCCAGCATGGTAGCCAAGTGGCAGAAGGTGCAACAGAACTTTGAGAACACTTAGGGTACACTTAGGCGACAGTGAACGAACTGGTTTCAAGGCTTGCTCAAGATCTCCTCGAGCGATTGTATCCAATGAGTCGTCGGATACGAGAACCACGAGATTCTTAAGGTCGTTTAAGAATTGTATTTTCTAGGTGTAACGTTGTTAAGTTGATAGCGCACTGTACCACCGCCTGTATAGTGTTCCCGTACCTGCAGTTAACGTTGTTATGACTTCTCACGAATCGGTTTGCTGTTTGAGATCGGCTGAATAGGAACAATGGAAGAGAGGGACTTCGGCATTGTTCGCGCTCACGAGACGCTGATCACTGGCATTTACTTATTGTCGCGTACACTTTCCGCGCGGTTCGAAAGTTTATTTAGAACGATACGCAACTGTTCCCGTTTCAATCATGATATCGCGTTCGTCGTTGTAAATACCGCGGCTTTGGTTTTCTGATCGTGGGACCGCTACTTAAACGTTAGATGAATCAACCGGTAGAATCGTCACGGTTGTTATAAACTGAGATTCATTTAATAATCCATTAATAATGTTATCCGAACTGCGAGAACGAGAGATGGTCGTGCTTAAATGCTTCCAGAGCTAGAATATTTTTTAAACTAACCGTAGGAAGGTCAGTATCATTGAGGGAATTCGTTTGTAAGATTGTACGCTTTACAGAATTGTTTTCTTTTTGTAATTATATGTAAATACATGATCAACGAAATACATATATATTATATATATATACAGCATTGTGTCTTTACAATCGCCCTGCGAACCAGCCGGAACCGGCACCACGTGGTGCTTTGCCGAAACGCAAACTTGGTTCTCTATAGTGTGTTCTTTATAATATCACGTGTATCGTACGCAAGAAACAACGTTAATTGGGATCTGTTGGGACAGACATAATTGAAAACAGGCCGCGAATATCGCGTTCAACGCTGTTGAACTGTGTTGCATCTAACGTTATCGTGTTTTAAGTTACTCGCCCAGTGAAGTTCGACCAAACACAGTGATGACTAAAATAAGTCCCGAAGGGACCCAACAGAAGGAACATGACTCGGCGGCAAGGATCCCCAAAAGGGACCAAGAAATAGACAATCCTTGTCTGCAGGTGATTTAATGACTTTTTTTAAGAGAGTTTCAGTCACCTAACCTCAAAAACATTCATGCGTATTCATTTTGTTTTTGTTCGTTTCTGTTACAGGAACATTTATTGTCTTTGAAGTGCCTCGACAATAACGAATACGTGCAGAAGAGGTGCGAGCCTTACTTCGAGAACTACAAAATATGCAAGATGTTTTGGGTAACTATGTCTAACCGTATTTGATTGGTTTCGGTGAAGAAAAACAGGTAGAAAAAAATATCGGCATTTCAGAGAAATGTTAAGAAGGATCGGAGATTGAAGGGTATCAAACCGGAACTCCCTTTGCCGGAGGATCGAAGAAAAGTGAAAGCAGAGTACATAAAGACATTTGTGCCAGAATAGTGTTAGGTTCTTAATAATTGATTAGAGAAAGATTGTTTAACGAACGACCGTATATTTAAGTAATAGGTAGACAGCGAGAATAAAAGGCGATTTACATAAAATCTTTTTAATATCTTTGGCAGAAACAAACATTTGGGGAATAGTGTGATTACATTTACCATCTATAAAAGTTAGAAACAAATGTCGATGCATAAGTTGCGCTGGAAACTAAATTCAACGTCTAAACAGATATAGTTGCGTTTTTTTTTTGCGTCGGATTACATGGATCTCGATCGATGCCGATCACACGGATAACTCTCGATCGGAAACAACGCTATTATTGCTCGCTGTTGCTCAATATTATGTTTATACACAAGATACAATTTGCAAATATGCAAAAATTTGTCCCGTTCTAGCCAGAGATTTGCTAACGTTTCGAACAAACGGATTTTCTTATTTAAAGAACGAACAACGCATCTTAAAGAGTTTCGTAATTACAGCTACTCCATACACTTAACATAAAACGGACTAGAGCAACGTGTATCGAATGTACGAAGAAAAAAAACGGAGGCTCGTCGATTTAGCGTTCGAACTTTGTAACATCGTAATGCAGAACCAGTGAAATGAAAGAGAAAAAAAAAACTGAACAACGAAAGATCGATGCATGGTCAGAATCGTTTCATTTATTCTACATTGACTTTGCGTTACTGCAGACGCGAACTTCAATTTCGGATGTACAGTTTTGATCGTGGGCTTCCAACGTGGGCTTCCACTACCTTAAAAAAAAGTCTTCGTTCACGATAGATAAGCAAACGTACGAAATGTTCTCTTTAGCCCAAAAATAGTCCACGGGTGTTAAAAAAGAAAAAAGAAAAAAAAATAATAACTTAAACAATAATTACCAGCTAACGTATTGTACATTATCTACTATTGTCATGAAGGACATGCTTTCCAACGCAAAGAATAATTTCAAGAGCGTACGATCACTTTGAAGAATTGACAGTGACGCCGACCGAATGGCCGAGCAACGTTCTTCGTTACTGAAAAAAAAAACAAAACAGAAGAGGAACAACGTTGCGCCGCATTCGTCCCGTCGGAAACATTTTTCCTCCCACGTTGAGAAGCTCTAACAGCAAATGCGCGGTTGTAATTTTGAGTATACAGTATCACGCGTTCCATTCGTTTCCAAGAAAATATATATGTGTATATGTATATATGTATATTATATACAGAATAGTCTTTTCGCTGCAGGGGGGGAACGACGATGGAACGGAACGTTCCCCTCGTTCCCGCTCGAATTGACGATTCCAGGTTACTTTAGCCTAACTGTATGGAATTCGTGGATTCAGCGTTGACAGCGCTATGTCCTCGTTAAATGCAACATAACATACACATGCATCCTTACACGAAAATAAATAATGTCTCTTTACACGCGCCTCGTTGCGGCTGCTAGTGAAACACGATACTCCTCCCATCGATCTGCAATTAAAGTCCATTATCCTAGGCTAACCCGGCGGTTATGCGATCAACTGTCACTTGCACCTTGCACCGCTGGATCTACAGTTTCGCTCACAATCAGTGGACAAAGCGGAATCTGGTTCCGCTTTGAAAAACGAGTATTTCAGGATGTACCCTGCGTCTACATTGTGTAACGCCATCCGTACAGTCCCAAGCTGGGACTTCGAACATGGCAAGAGACAGCATAGGCTGACTTCTCGAGTCCAAAAGAGTGTCATGGATTCGGACAGTAGATCCTTCGCATTTCGAGACAGCTCGCCCCAAAGTTGGCCTCATCCTTCTAGAGTAGTTCTCTCTTATCGTCTCGAATATTATCGAACGACGGCAGTCCTGAGATTAGGACTGGCTACCTCATCACGTGTCCACATAAACGCGGTGCAGTTGACAGCGTGCACCACCGTGCCAAGCTAGCCTAGTCGATTAGCTACACAGACAATACACGTTAAAAACGAAAAAACCTCCCCTCGGAACACTTAAAGTCAGAGTTTACGAACTGAACACAAAAAGACAATACAGAAGTCGATAGAGTGCTATACACCTCTCTTGCCCCACCTCGCCCCCTCCCCCTCTTGGCTATCGATTCCACTAAAATGCGCTAACCGTAAATACCGGGACCAGTGTACATCGACCGGTTACAAAAGAAGCGTGATTTCTGCGGCTATGTTTATCACAGCGACACGAGGATTCAAACAATTTGTTGCCTCTGCGAAGGAATAAATAAGATCACGTAACAGGTACTTCTTTTATGGATATGTGATCAGCAATGATTGGATGCGCGAGTGATGTTTCTTTTTTCTAACACTGCCCGGGAATCCTCGTTCCCTTGTCCGAGGTGCCACCCGAGCTGCGAACGGGATCTTCCTCGTTTCCGGCTCGCTTCTTGCCCCTGTCTGCTCTGTACTCACTGATTCGTAGGTGGCTCCGACTCCCTTTTGTTTCTTCGTTTTTAACATGTATCGTCGGCAAGTAGTCAATCGACGCGACTCTTGATGCGGAACGTGTGGATACGGAAGTGACGACACATCTGACGCACCTGGAAGAACACCGGAACGGATCACGAATTATTTCACGGCGAACGGTTTTTCGTTGTTCGAACGAAAAAAGATGCGAACGCTCACCACGCATGTGCCGTAATGAATGTGCGCCAACAGCGCGACCACGGCGACGATATAAGTGAATACCAAGTCGGTACTCGGCAAGACGAAGGTGACGGCTACCGCCACCCCCATGGGCACTAGTATCCACGAGAATATTTCGCATCTGGCGTTGCTCATTTGCGACACGATCAATCGACACTGTAAACGCATCATTAATAGTCATTATTAGTACTTTATAATTTATTATTCTTTATTATAATTAGACTGCGAATTTTTATGCAGATTCTCATTTGCATGCAATTACAATGACATTTTGCAAACACCGGAATGCAAGAGAAGTTTGCTTCATCGATTATGAAATTATTCGTTGTAACAAAAAAAGATGAGAATGTTATTGGATCTTATTAATTTATACGTTTTCTTGCATTTCTAAATCCCTGCGCATGCCATAAATGCATAAAGATCCGCAGTCTGTTTATAATTATTAATATAAGGAGGAATCTTACGCATATATTGGAGAAAATGGTTCCAACGGTCAAAAACACGATCCTCGGGTCTTTCTCTACTATGTTACTCGGGGAGTGCACTACCCAAACTGTCGAGATCGCGAAGAGAGCACTTAGAGGTATCAGAGGTCTTATAGCGTCTAGGAATGTTCTCATTTTGCCAGTCTTGTCCCTGTAGGATCTGGAAGCGAACCGGCGGTTTTCGTAAAAGTTAAATCGACGATGTTACAACGAATCCACTCACTTGTATATGTTCCAAAGCACCACGGGTAAGCTGGTCACGATCGCGGTGACGTACAGTACAATTTCGAACATCACGCCCACGGAAATGTTGCCGGGCAGCATGAATTTCCAGGTTTCGTGTCCCCCTATGCTTGATATAATAAACACTGTGGTAGTGCCCTGGAAATTGAGAGAATTTGTTAGTTGTATCAGCTGTTGGACTGGAACAACAGCAGTGTTATCGATACTTGCCACCATGGATAAGTCATATCCCCATGGGAGAAACAGCACACCGGTGTTGTACTTTTCCCAATGAGTCAAATAAAAGTTAACAAATACGCTCCACAGTATGAAATACATCCTCATCGGGGATACACTGTGATCCGTACGGCCGAACACGGAGAACATACATACAGTAATCCACATTGTTGTCCAACTGTCCAGTCCATGGTCGAATAATTCTCCCAAGGGACCGGACGTTTGCGTTTTCCTCGCTTGTTTTCCGTCTATACCATCTGTAACAGAACCAGGTATGAAACTGTAAATGTTAAAGAAAACGATTACTACGGTCTATCGACTTTATTACTCACCAAGGGTATAAGCCATGAAGACATTAAATGCGCCCAGTGCAAAGACCCACCTTGGTATAGGCGGGTACTGTGGTTTATCGTCGCTGGACGCGTACAGATAATAGTCGTAACTCGCGAACATAGTGAAATTGAAGACAGTGAAGAGGAATCCAGAGAAAGTTAACACATTCGGAGCAACCCATTTCGGACAATACTGAAACAATATTTCAACGTGTTAAATCATTAAGCATTCCAGCGGCTGTTAAGACTTTTAGAAGAAACATACCTGCACTACTTTGTTCCAAAATGGGTGCATAATATACACACTGAGAGGGCTCGTGTCCACAGAGCAATACTGTAAACAAATCAATGAATATTAATCTGATTTCCTTAAAATCCTAACTCATTGTTCACCAAGCATGCTCGGTCATCAACCCAGAATAGAGGAGCGATGAATGTAAATTGCTCAAAACAATGCATGACATAATGCTGTTCCCCCTTCCCTTCGCCATATGTTTTCCCAGAATAACGTGCATCAACTTAGCATGCACATGAAAGCATTCATTGTAATCCATTTGAACGAGTTGTCTATCGAAGCTTCTAGGAACGATTCAAGCTTGAAAGATAAGTGGAAAAGGTTGACTGAAAATAGGTCCGCGGCGCGAAGCAGCGCGAGGTAGTCAAGGTAACAAAACAATCGCTGACTAAATCCCCATGGAATGCGCGTATCAGTCGGCGGCCACCTAAGCGGGGACTCCCATGGGGAGTAGGCGAAGCCGGGCGCGTTACCTTGTAGCTCTCGAAGCCGGCGAGATGTTGATCGGTCAGGTATTGGACCTCGAGGCCCAGCTTCCGGTACATGTTGTGGCCGGCGTGGGTGTTACGGTGCGCTGCGGGAGACGTTGGTCTTCGGTCGGTTCTCGGAGCTAAGGCGTGTTCGTTCGGCTCATCGGGGACCCTCCCGGGAAAAGACGCCGCGGGTTCCGGCTCTCCGCATCAAAGGCACTGGGGGGTTGCGGTCCGAGCACGTGCTCCTTGGTCGAGTGGCCTGATGTTCAGCGTCGATTCATGGTGACATCGAGCTGCGTGGACGACGATTACCGCGACACGACTGTACCGTACACGGAGTCTTTAGCCTGAAGGCCGATTCTCACGTGCCGACGGGAGAACGAATGAGAGTTAAAACGGCGCGGCGCGGCGAGCGTCGGCCGATCGATTCAACGGCTGGCCCCGGCCTTCGCGAGTCGAAGGGGAAAGAGAGGAAGAGAGAGAGAGAGAGAGAGGACTCTGCATAGAACTACGCATTGATAGCGCATCGCTCTTGGCAATTGGCTCGATAATGCGTGCCAAATTATAGTTTCCAGTAGTACGACCGGAACCGTGGGCGTTAATTAATGCCGGCAGGATAGCTCGCCGTCGGTTTTCAAAACCGATCGTTACAACACGAAGGTCGTTTTAGGCTGTTCCTTCGAAGGACGACACCTCGAACTGTCTCATTGTCGCTGCAGCCGTCTGTGGCGCTCTCCTATTCGAGCCGTACACAACTATGTACAATGTTCTGCGGCAATTCGACGATGCTCGGTGCCAGTTAGGCGGGCTAGCCGACGGGTAGAGTACCCGATAGCATCGCGCGCCGTTTATGTAACAGATGCGTAGCTAAGATCGCCGGCAAAAAGGTCATCATCATTTATAATTACCGACGATACGCTCGGACTTCGTTAAACAGGGGACTCGGAATGCGTTCGCGGGAGGGGTGGGGGGAAATTTATTTACGTGAATCGCAACTTTGGATTTTGCTGATGTAGGAGCTGCGGCGATTGCGATCACGAAATAGGAACGTTATCGAACGTGTCCGAACCGCGGGATCAAATGGTACATACGTCGACGAAGGTGATTACGAGAATTCTCGTGTCCGTCGCAGAAATTGTACGCAGGCGTAAACTTTTATTGAGTCATTTATTTATCCCCTTATTACAAATAGATCGTGCGCACCGGGTGCTGCACGGTACAAGTAGACAGGAACTTACTATAGCGAATACTGCACCTGAAACAAGGGCGATCAGGATAAATAAACGTTCGAACACTGATGGCTGGATTAAATAATCGACGACGAGGCATCGCCGTGAAATAAGTGTTCACGGGGAGCTTACATAATTTATTTCAACATCTGGTAACGAAGGATTAAGTACGGCGTCGAGAATCCGCTGCCGAAGAACAGCATGAACGTTCCAGTGAGCAAGAATCTGTTCTGAATGTTCAAGGGTAGATTCTGCAAAAATTCATTTCACGTGGATTTCTAACCTCTCGACGGCCTCGGTTGCGTGTTTCGCGGGGAACGATGCCAGGACGTTCAGTCATGATTATCGAGTTATTCGTACGGATTTCATTGTTCTGCTCGTCCAAGCGGAAGCACGAACTTGCGATAACGCGTAATTGTTGTATAACAACAATTACGCAATTGTCGATATTATTATTTTTTACTTACGGAGCTGGGGTAGCCCTCGCCTTCCTGGTACATTCGCCTCGCACTGGTTGTGAAGGCCCTCCTCAGCTGCTGCGAAATCATTGTCGACGGATAACTTTTGTCAACTCCACGTTGTCTGTCGACTAAACGGATTTTAGGCGCTTTAGAACAATGGCGAGGGGGTCGTCTGCTGCGCGCACGCCCTGGTTTCTCACGAATTCGGTCGTGACGGTCGGTAACTCTGTTTCGAGAGCTTTCAAAACATACGAAATGTCCTCGAAGCACATGCTAGCGTCATCTGTCGTTGGTATTCTAGTACGAAAGAAGATATTCTCCCTAGTTTCTAGTTTATTTTGTTGTCTAGTTCGTTTTACCGACGCGTTTTCGTTCTTTTGTTGGCACGCCGATTATCCGGCTATGGCGGTTCTTTTCCCGTTGGGATACTATTCTCGTAAAGACCGTAATAGGCTATTTTTATTTTAACGAATGGCATAGATTCGATGCAGAAAATCTTCACGAACATTTTGAGACCAAAAGCACTCGTTTTTGGCCGCTGGTTCTCGAGATATTCAAGCCTTTCTGTTCCCATAGCGACTAGATTAGAGCAGTTCAGTGATTTATTTATTTATTTGGGTTATTATTTGGGGCTACAGAGCCCTATTGTACAATATAAATAGGTCAGAAAATAACAATTAGAGGATTTCTTTTAGGATTGCTTAGGATTTTGCTTGGGATTGCAGGGCCTGTCTTTGTCGCCGCGAAAAATCGAAGACGGCATCTTTATATTAAACTTTTTATTCGTTAAATAAACGTTTAATTGATGAAGCAAACATTTCTGAAACACGTTTTCTAAATCTATTATTTTCGATTTTGTACCGAACCGTGAAACAACTCCTATATACATACATACGTTGCTCTCGTCCATAGGATCTTTAGGCTGACACTGTAATATTAAAACACGCATTCGAAATGTACACTCACACTAATACAACAACCCCCTTTCGGGTCCGAAATTTCTGATCGGAAACGAGACTTCCACCACGGTGTACCACGACGATGTAAACTTTTGTTTCCTGTGGTCCCAGCGTGGCTGACAAATACGTCTGCTGATGATGATGATTCCACCTGGAGTCTCCTGGTTTAACGAGCCACAGTAAGAAAATTGTTGCGCCTTACGTTTCTTCCTTCAGAGGCTCCAGCTTTTACCTGTCATAATAATTCATAATACAACAGTTGATTTTATAGCCGATCAGTTCTATAAGCGAGAGAAAAATAAATAAAATTATTGAATTGATTACATTCGTTTATATAATAGCTGATAAATTTTATGAGTGAGAGAGAAATATAAATAAAATTATTCAATCGACTACGTTAGTTTATTTAATAGCTGATAAATTTTATAAGTGAGAGAGAAACATAAATAAAATTATTCAATCGATTACATTCATTTACTTAATAGCTGATCAATTTTATAAGTGAGACTAAAATAAATCAAATTATTCAATTGATTACACTAGTTTATTTAATAGCTGATCAATTTTATAAGCGAGACTAAGATAAATAAAATTGTTCAATCGATTAAAAAACACCTACCAAACACTGCACTTGTGCGTTGGGTTCATAGGAGAGCCCGGAGGACAGTTGTAGGCCCTGGCAAAGTCTTCGCTGTTGGAAAGAGGCCCCAGGACCCTTATAGGGCCCGGAGAGTGAACGCTGCTCCGGATTTTTGTCAGAGCATCCTCCGGCCTCATGGAGCCGCACCAAATTTGGGCATAATTTAGGAAGAATAGTTGGTCGTGCGTGAGATTGATACCAGGGAGCAGAGGTTCCTCCCCATGTATCGACACCCACTTCTTGTACGCCTTCAAAAAAGAATTTTAGCATTAGCAATTTTTAACATTCGATCCTTTTCTTTTTAGTAATCGTTTCTCAGATTTTGCGATTACCCTGAACGATTGCTTGAGGCCCCCGTTGTCCGCGATGTTCTCGCCTTGCGTCATCCTGCCGTTGATGTTCAAACCTATGTCCTGCAGTTTGTAGTTGGAGTACTGTTTCACGATGCACTCGGCCCGCCTCCGAAAGGCCCCGATGGTCGCATTGTTCCACCATTGCATTATGTTCCCGTCTTTGTCGAACTGGCGCCCTTTGTCGTCGAAACCGTGGGTGATCTCGTGGCCGATCACCACGCCGATGCCACCGTAGTTCAGCGACTTGGGAAAGTGTTGGGAGTAGAAGAGGGGCTGGAGTATCCCTGCCGGGAAAACTATGGGAAAGACGCTCGATTAAACGTGTAACCAGGTACAGTAAATTTCTCCCTAATTCGCGCTCAGATTGCGCACGAACAATGGACAATTTGGGAGCAGGAGACACGATTCTTCGATCCTCGGGGCTCGGTTTTTTTAGTCACCGATTATCAAGGTTATTGGGAAGGCTAAAACAATCGGGTCTCCTTTCCCCAAATTGTCCATTCTTGTGCGCAATCCGAGCGCGAATTAGGGAGAAATTACTACACTCAGCGGCGACACGAGAATACCGTTGTCTTTGGTCTGTCTCTTATACACATCTAGATGTGTATAAGAGACAGACCAAAGACAACGGTATTCTCGTGTCGCCGCTGAGTGTAGTAATTTCTCCCTAATTCGCGCTCGGATTGCGCACAAGAAGGGACAATTTGGGGAAAGGCTGTCTCTTATACACATCTAGATGTGTATAAGAGACAGACCAAAGACAACGGTATTCTCGTGTCGCCGCTGAGTGTAGTAATTTCTCCCTAATTCGCGCTCGGATTGCGCACAAGAAGGGACAATTTGGGGAAAGGCTGTCTCTTATACACATCTAGATGTGTATAAGAGACAGACCAAAGACAACGGTATTCTCGTGTCGCCGCTGAGTGTAGTAATTTCTCCCTAATTCGCGCTCGGATTGCGCACAAGAAGGGACAATTTGGGGAAAGGCTGTCTCTTATACACATCTAGATGTGTATAAGAGACAGACCAAAGACAACGGTATTCTCGTGTCGCCGCTGAGTGTAGTAATTTCTCCCTAATTCGCGCTCGGATTGCGCACAAGAAGGGACAATTTGGGGAAAGGCTGTCTCTTATACACATCTAGATGTGTATAAGAGACAGACCAAAGACAACGGTATTCTCGTGTCGCCGCTGAGTGTAGTAATTTCTCCCTAATTCGCGCTCGGATTGCGCACAAGAAGGGACAATTTGGGGAAAGGCTGTCTCTTATACACATCTAGATGTGTATAAGAGACAGACCAAAGACAACGGTATTCTCGTGTCGCCGCTGAGTGTAGTAATTTCTCCCTAATTCGCGCTCGGATTGCGCACAAGAAGGGACAATTTGGGGAAAGGCTGTCTCTTATACACATCTAGATGTGTATAAGAGACAGACCAAAGACAACGGTATTCTCGTGTCGCCGCTGAGTGTAGTAATTTCTCCCTAATTCGCGCTCGGATTGCGCACAAGAAGGGACAATTTGGGGAAAGGCTGTCTCTTATACACATCTAGATGTGTATAAGAGACAGACCAAAGACAACGGTATTCTCGTGTCGCCGCTGAGTGTAGTAATTTCTCCCTAATTCGCGCTCGGATTGCGCACAAGAAGGGACAATTTGGGGAAAGGCTGTCTCTTATACACATCTAGATGTGTATAAGAGACAGACCAAAGACAACGGTATTCTCGTGTCGCCGCTGAGTGTAGTAATTTCTCCCTAATTCGCGCTCGGATTGCGCACAAGAAGGGACAATTTGGGGAAAGGCTGTCTCTTATACACATCTAGATGTGTATAAGAGACAGACCAAAGACAACGGTATTCTCGTGTCGCCGCTGAGTGTAGTAATTTCTCCCTAATTCGCGCTCGGATTGCGCACAAGAAGGGACAATTTGGGGAAAGGCTGTCTCTTATACACATCTAGATGTGTATAAGAGACAGACCAAAGACAACGGTATTCTCGTGTCGCCGCTGAGTGTAGTAATTTCTCCCTAATTCGCGCTCGGATTGCGCACAAGAAGGGACAATTTGGGGAAAGGCTGTCTCTTATACACATCTAGATGTGTATAAGAGACAGACCAAAGACAACGGTATTCTCGTGTCGCCGCTGAGTGTAGTAATTTCTCCCTAATTCGCGCTCGGATTGCGCACAAGAAGGGACAATTTGGGGAAAGGCTGTCTCTTATACACATCTAGATGTGTATAAGAGACAGACCAAAGACAACGGTATTCTCGTGTCGCCGCTGAGTGTAGTAATTTCTCCCTAATTCGCGCTCGGATTGCGCACAAGAAGGGACAATTTGGGGAAAGGCTGTCTCTTATACACATCTAGATGTGTATAAGAGACAGCCTTTCCCCAAATTGTCCATTCTTGTGCGCAATCCGAGCGCGAATTAGGGAGAAATTACTACACTCAGCGGCGACACGAGAATACCGTTGTCTTTGGTAAAGCGCGTACCGATGTCATTTTTGTTAGGATTATAGAACGCGTTGACGATGGTGGGGCTGGTGGACCACTTGTTCTTGTCGACAGGCTTCCTCAGCTCCCGCAGATTATGATAAGCCGCGTACTTCAGCACCGCCAGGACGTTCTCCAGGAAATGGTGCTCGGAGATGTTCAGCTGATGGAGCAAGAACGGTGTCAGACAGTACCTCATCCGCCGCCGCAGATACCCACCATTAAATACTCTTCGGAAAGTTCGACAGGGTTCTTCAGAAACTCTGGATACCCAATCCTCTCGATCATGGAGTCGGCTTTGTTCTTGGCCACGGCCCTGGTTTCATCGTCCATCCAGTGATTCTCTGCCAGCAGCTCGTTGAACGCCTCGCGTATGGTATGGATCATCTCCAGCGCAGTTTCCTAAGTGGGAAATCATGTACCGATGAGAGAACTGCGAAGCCCGAAGGTCAAAGATGCAGGTGGCCAGCAGTCACCTTGCTCTCGTGATCGAAGTTGTCGCGTATGAACAGCGCGCCCACGGCCATACCCAGCTTCTTGTTGGTCCACTCGACGCACTGGGCCCACCTGTTCCTCTCGCTCAGTATTCCCAACAGGATCCTCTTGAACTCGACGCTCTTCTGCTGATAGTCGTCTATCATGTGGGGGATTATCGACATCACCAGTCGCCAGAGTATGTAATTGTGCAGCGTCCTGCAAGGTAGCATCGATTCGTCTGACTCCGTGCCGCCGTTTTTTTTTTAAACTCCCGCTTCGAACGGGTGCCCCACCACACGTTTTACCTGCGATTTGTCTTCGCGACGATGCGACCCAGGTGCCCGAAATAGTTCATACCGTACGCAACGATCGGCTCTTGCTCGGTCACAGGAGCGTTCAGCAACTCCTGCAGGTAGACCTGCCATTTCAGCTGCGGTATTTCTAGCTGCAACTCGCGCAACGTCACTTTCCGGTAGATCGAGGACGTGTCGTGTCTGTCTGCCTCTGGCAGAGACACCTGGAATTCAGAGGCAACATATTTGGTATCTAAGTTATGCTGTGGCCGAAGGGTAGGTCTGGTTATATAGTATAGGGTCTTGGGAGTCTCGGTAGCAATAGCTCGCTCTGCTAGCCAGAGACAGTAATTGGAAAGATTTCAGCTCGTAAGGACCATCAGTAGCCTACCAGATGGCAGTCTAAAAGGGCTGACGATAACCCTGTCGACACCAGGTGGTGTGCTCAACTGTTACCATAGAGAGTGTCTCGAAACCCTAAGGATAAGTAGCAGCTTAGAGTAGTAGCAACTCCAGAAAAGCTATGCGAAGCATCCTAGAATGTGGATCAAGTGTGTGGAGTCTCCTAATGGGGTCTATTCTGTCATGGTCACCGGTAGAATAACTGCATAACCCTGCTAAAGTTTAAACCCATGGGGTCTGCAGTCTCCTGATGAGATCTACAGTAAATTCTCTCAAATTGTCCCACCCTTCCACCTCGCAACAGACACCAGCAGGGCCTGGACTAGCCTAGCGAGATCAGAAAACAGTGACCTGGTGTTGAGACTCCAAATTTTGAGGATTAGTGTCGGGACTTCAGTTTGACGTTAGATGGTCCACCCGGTTCTCGGCATAGAGATTGGGGTCTTGAGACATCCAAACAAGCCTTTAGGTTCTTACAGCCTGTCGTAACATACCCTAGCCTAGACCCTAGCATACCCTAATCCCATCGAAACTGGGAGGCAACGACACGGTGCTTACATTGGCCAACTGTTGCTCCAAGAAGATAACTCTCTCGAACTCAATGGGCGCGGCTTTGGGGTCCGCTCCTAGCAGCACGGCAACGCTGGTCATGTACCGGTGGTACGCCTTCAACGCAGCCTCGCTGCTCTTGTTCAGATAATAGTCCCTGCTGGGCAGCGCGAGCTGCATCTGGTCCAGCTGCGAACACACCAGACAGACGGACAGTTAGGAGACGTCCTCGGCGACCCAGGCCCGTCAAGAAACTGATCCGATGTCTATCGAAGAAGCCAGTTTAGCCTTGTTTACTACCCATCGTCCCCTCTCACATCGCGACTCTCATACTGTGCAGACGTCGACCAAGGGGCCTTACTTTGCCGGCGCACCTGGATGATGTTGGCAGAGGAGTTCATGTCGTCCGGGCCGACCCATTGCTCCAACAGCACACCCTCGTTGTACTCGGCCCGCAATCGACCCAACAGGACCTCGATCGGGTACGGCGGCGGTTTCCAGGACGGGCCGTCCACCGCCGGCCATCCGCCGAGCAGTCTCAGGATCCTCTTCAATGGGGCGTCGCCGATCTCCCTGATCCGAGCTGTTGAGGACATCCGAACGCTCAGTTTACACTAAGATCTTCCAGATGACGTTGAAAGTATCGAATCGATCGCTCTACTCCCGGGCGAATTTAATGCGAAAGCGAGTGCAGTCGTTTCTCCCAAGTTGTCCCTCGGTTTGGGGACGAAAATGGACAATTCGGGAGAGGCGATGCGATTATTCGAGGCTAGCGGCTCGCTTTTATAGTCGCCGATTATCGACAACTTTGAAAATGAGCCGCTCGAATAATCGTGTCGCCTCTTCCCAAGTTGTCCGATTTCGTTTTCGAGCCGAGGGACAATTGGGGAGAATTTATAGCGAGAGGTGGAAGTTCAATCGGAGCACGCGTCCGAGAAAAATTTTCGTTGTACCCACGGATGTCCATGCACGATTTGTAGAACCTCTTCGCCTTCAGGGTGGCGTCGTTGTCGTTGTCGTTCGGCGGCTCTTCGAGCACCCGCTTCAGACTCACTTGCAGCTGGTCCGCCAGCACTTCGAACGTGCTGATCGAGCTCATATCTTCCGGTATCACGTGCTGCTGGTTCCACGCGCCGCACGCGTACTGGAAGAAGTTCACGCAAGGCGCTGCGGTCCGGTCCATCGCTGACAACAGACTCGCCGCTGAAATCCGTACGTTAAATCCAAAACTGATTCTCCTCGCGGCGTTCCAGAACTCCCGTCAGGAGGTGCCTCGGCCGATTTCGAGTAACCTTTTCCTTTGCGAAAATGTTCCACGTCGCTTCGTTTACGAGTTATTAACGAAAAACACGGACCAATTAGGGGACGAGGACTGTCGACGCCCCGCCCCAGCGACGCCAGACTCGTCAGCCGTACTCGGAGTCCGATTGGTCGGTGTTTTTCGTTAATAACTCAGCAACGGAGCTGCGGAGAACATTTTCGCTAAGGAAAAGGTTGTTTCAAATCGTCCGAGGAATCTTTCTGTGATATAAACGTCATTTTCAAGATACTTTTGTAGGTCTGTTAGTCTATTTGTTGTTCCTTGTGCGACAGGAATTTATTTTATCCAATTGTCGACAATTAGGCGGCGATTTGTGTTCTCTGTAAGAGTTATGGGACACCCTGTATACTCTTCAAGATTCATCGAGTTTCTCGAATAAAATCTCACTGTTTTCTTTGCAAAATATTCTTAAAACATTCTGCGTAAAACAGTAATGGATTTCTTTTGCTTGAAATGTCGAATTCGAAATTATACATCGAGCCGCGGTTTTCACGTTTCCAAGTTGCACTTTCGCCGCATCTAATTGCGCCCGGTAATCCCGTGGAGGCTTAATATCTCGATAGCATAATCGAGTGAGGACGGGGGCTCGCTCTGATCTCGGGATTAATTACGTATAACAGGATTCCCGCGCAACACCCGGGCTTTCACATTTTAATGCCTTCGATCAATATTAACCCATTTTTGTCATCGTAATCGGTTGCGAGAGGAAAAAAGAAAAAAGTGAAAAACTTTCACGGTGAAATGTAGCCGCCGCGTACTCTCGCGAATGATTTCTCCACAAATAGGAACAATGATCTCGGATTACATGGAAGAGCGTTAACGAGAGTTATTTCTTCGATCGAGAAACTTCGATGCGCCGCGTCGCAACTCGGCGTTCTTTCTCGATCGACGGAATTTTAATCGAACTTTTTACGCGAACAGAATAGTTCTGCGTTGTTGAAATGTAAATTGCGAAATTCCTGGCGCGGCGCCTTTCGAATTTCCGCATTCTTTCGCGGGAATATTTGCTCGAGTACTCGCCGGCGCGTTGTTCTTCGCGGCTGAAAATCTCAACAAGGGTTCCCGCGGAAAAATCCGCACCTTTTTTTTCGGCGTTCCGCCGGCGAACGTGTTTTCATTTTCATGCTCCGACGTGCAAACCCGTGAAAGCTGGCCGGCTTTTGCACGCGCGACCCACGATTTTCTCTACAATTTTCAAATTCAGGTCGAGCACACCGCGTTCTCTTCCGCCTTTTTCGCGTAGAATACGAGCTTAATTAAAATGCTCTTTAGACCCGGCTGCTTTCGCGTTTTATAATCACAATAATTAATCATACGGATTTCCTTAATTCATTAATCCCTCGCAAACGAACAATGTTCGTTTTATGTAACAATAAATAATTGATTCCAATGACATTTTATGTTCTCTTTGGCACTCGCTAAATATTGTTGTTCAATACTCCTGACTATTCAATGGAGTTTTAACTAACACATCTAAAAGCACCTTACAAAATACGTTGGAAACAATTGATAAATAAAACTGTGGGGTCCATTTGGACCCCGAGTATAAATATTCTCACTCGTCTGTCTAGTTTCTAAAAATTCATTGATATCTTAATTAACGTGTCCAGAAGCTTGCAAAATCTGTGTAAAAAAAGTTGACAAATTAAATCATAAACGACGATCATATTTTTATAAAAAATTACGTTACTACCTCGCGAATAAATAGATCGAACTTTTCGATAGGTGATATCCAAGAATATTTTCCTTTTGCGCGAACGTACGAAATATTGCCTCTGCGATCCACCAAAAATTCCGTCCGTATCGCTGAAAATTTCCTCGAACCGCGAAATCAAAATTTGGCTGTCGACGAATGTCACGGGGGCAGAACCGGGAAATCTGTGTCATCGACTTTCTATGGTGGCAGAGATACACGGTGTGTATCACCGGAGCGAACGTCCGAGTCGGTCGAGGACGAGCGCGTAATCAGATCGTCGAAAACTGATTGGTGGTCTTCGGGAATTGCGTTCGAAGCCTCCGCGCCGTTGCAAATCGCATTATACGATCCCCGCGGAATTGCTTGCCGCCCGGCCGCAGCAGATTCGATTCCCGATTGCGCCGTTTCGGCGTTTCACTGACCGTTGATGACCGTTTACGCGCCGAGCGTGGAGGGAAGTCGTCGAACGTGGGAACGCCGTTTTACATTTCGTCCGCCTTTTTTACCCGGTCAAAATTGCATTTCTCGAATTTCTACCGTGATCATCTTCGGATAATTCAGATCGCGTTTCAAGCAACAATTTTTCGAAAATGTCACTCGCGCGAACGAAACGCGCGACGCTCGCCGCGTTCAACAAAGGAACGCGTTGTTCGAGCGATGTCCTGGCGATTTTTACCTGTTCTGACGCACTCCTCCGTCATGCAGACGTCCGGACCTGTAAGAAGAACGAAGTCTCTATCCAGTAGCAGCATTAAAGTCACCGGAGAGAGAGAGAGAGAGAGAAAAAAATAGAAGGGAAGGCAAACGAAGGCAGAACGCGGCGTCTCTATCGAACGCTGCAGAATTCGCGCGAAACCGCCGAACGCAATTTTTTTGCGGCGCGCGTTCACGGTCGCGTGTCTGCTGCTTAACATAAAGAGGGCCATTGTTGCGCGCCGCGTCTTCGCGGTTTGTACCAGATCGTCGTGCAACACTTGCCGTGACGTTCCGTCGGCGATACAATGCCGGTTTTTGTCCCCGTAATTGGCTCGCTAACGAACTCATCGATTCTTTGTCCGAACGAACGGCAATTTCCCTTCGAACAAACCGCTGAGCGCGAACGCGCGCGCGTTTCTTAACGCTCGAACGACCGGCGTCCGTGCCAAAAGTCTGCTCAACTATGCTTATTAATCTTTTTATACGTCGTTTAATCATCGGCTGCGAAAATTCGAACGAGTTTTCAGGAAGCCGGCACTCGAATTTTTCCAGCCTGGGTCCAAACGGACCCGAGCTGCGCCCTCCGAGTGTCGATCATTCGATGCTAATTTTCTCTCGAAAATGGTTCACTGATCTTTTAACGATAGGTAATTAAATTGAATAAATTATAATTATGATAGTAACATTGTAACAATAATATTATGATATTATAATAATATTAATAATATTATAACATTATAATTGTATTACTAATATTATAATAATATTAATAATATTATAACATTATAATTGTATTACTAATATTATAATAATATTAATAATATTATAACATTATAATTGTATTACTAATATTATAATAATATTAATAATATTATAACATTATAATTGTATTACTATTATCATAATATTATAATTGTATTAATAATATTGTAATATTACAGTTAATATTATAATAATATTAATAATATTATAACATTATAATTGTATTACTATTATCATAATATTATAATTGTATTAATAATATTGTAATATTACAGTATAGTGGTATTATTATAATCATTCATTTAATTATATTTTATTCGATTACAGTATCGCAGATTACTTTCTAAAGAGGGAATTAATTTTTGAAGGATGTATTATAATAACACGTTATCGACTTGGTAAAGGGAGAATATTGTTGAAGCNTGCTGCTTAACATAAAGAGGGCCATTGTTGCGCGCCGCGTCTTCGCGGTTTGTACCAGATCGTCGTGCAACACTTGCCGTGACGTTCCGTCGGCGATACAATGCCGGTTTTTGTCCCCGTAATTGGCTCGCTAACGAACTCATCGATTCTTTGTCCGAACGAACGGCAATTTCCCTTCGAACAAACCGCTGAGCGCGAACGCGCGCGCGTTTCTTAACGCTCGAACGACCGGCGTCCGTGCCAAAAGTCTGCTCAACTATGCTTATTAATCTTTTTATACGTCGTTTAATCATCGGCTGCGAAAATTCGAACGAGTTTTCAGGAAGCCGGCACTCGAATTTTTCCAGCCTGGGTCCAAACGGACCCGAGCTGCGCCCTCCGAGTGTCGATCATTCGATGCTAATTTTCTCTCGAAAATGGTTCACTGATCTTTTAACGATAGGTAATTAAATTGAATAAATTATAATTATGATAGTAACATTGTAACAATAATATTATGATATTATAATAATATTAATAATATTATAACATTATAATTGTATTACTAATATTATAATAATATTAATAATATTATAACATTATAATTGTATTACTAATATTATAATAATATTAATAATATTATAACATTATAATTGTATTACTAATATTATAATAATATTAATAATATTATAACATTATAATTGTATTACTAATATTATAATAATATTAATAATATTATAACATTATAATTGTATTACTATTATCATAATATTATAATTGTATTAATAATATTGTAATATTACAGTATAGTGGTATTATTATAATCATTCATTTAATTATATTTTATTCGATTACAGTATCGCAGATTACTTTCTAAAGAGGGAATTAATTTTTGAAGGATGTATTATAATAACACGTTATCGACTTGGTAAAGGGAGAATATTGTTGAAGCATTTTTGACTACGCTTGCCTAATCGATCGCTCGACGGACAATATAAACATATTACGATCTCATTTCGCCGAGCGCTTATGGATGCCGGTGATTCGATTAATTCTGCCGGTGGCTATGAGGTAACACGGCGAAGCGGCCTTTTCGAGTGGAACTTGATAGCCTCGACTCAATTCGATTCGATTCGGCTGATCGATGTTCGTTTCTGACACGAACACGCCGCTGAACCGTCGACAATTTTCGTGTTTCACTTTGCACGGGTTTCGACAGCCGGCAGAACGTTTTACAGCGAAATATCGCCGCGAAGTTTCGTGCCAAAACTGCCCGGAACAATTAATATTAATCAATAAGCTGAAAGAGAACCAGCAATTTTATGAAAATCGGTCGCACGCCGACAAGTCTGCTCTTTTATTTACATCATCTGGAATCGTCTTTCGTGTACGTAAATTTTGCATGAAAAAATTAATTCTTTCAAAAATTCATATTCACTTTTTTGCAAATTAGATGAACCCTCTCGCGGATCTTATTTATCTTTTTCGCAAATGAAATTCGCTCGATCAAAATTGACCATCTTTTGCATAATCTTTAAATTTTATACGAATTTTATTACAGACCATTACAAAGAAACGAACTTTGTTTGCAAAAAAAGTGAACGAAATCTGCAAGAGGGTTCATTTTATTTGTTGAAAAGTGAAGACGATCTACGAAAGAATATTGAGCAGAGAAGCTGTATTGCGGTATCAGAAAATTTCAGCCTCGTTTGAAAAATTGTGATGCTAGAAACCATAAAAAACGCTATGTAACCGATCAACAGCTTCGCCAGAAGCCAGGGTTGTCATTCAGTCATCATCAACGTGTCAGAGAGAAGAACTAGATGCAACCGAACTATACTAGCAGACCCCTGCACCGTCGCGCCGTTAAGGCCCGTGATCTAATAGAAATTGTCACGCGTCATTAGGCTAGACGTGAATTAATTTTCGTCAGCGTGACGACACGTGGGTGAATAACTAGCAATCCTAACCACTTTTGTACCGCTCGCTATGCGTCCAATTGTGTTCCGTATTTACCTACCGTTCCGAGATTCTACTCGCTTATTAGCACCGCGACCAATATACCCGGTGGTCCATCAGTAAATGGATGGATGTCCCAAAATTATTGTGCAAGCGAGAAACGAGGGGTTCCCGAGGTCGTTTGAAGTAACTTTCTCCTCAGCGAAAATGCAATCCGCGGCTTCGTTTACGAGTTATTAACGAAAAACAGTGACCAATGAGAGGCGAGCTCGGCTGGCGCGAGGCGGCGCAGACAACGAGCGCAGGACGCCCAGTTCCGCTGATTGGCTCGGCCGCCTCGCGCCAGCCGATCTCTGTTCTCATTGGTCATTGTTTTTCGTTAATAACTCGTAAACGAAGCCGCGTATTGCATTTTCGCCAAGGAAAAAGTTACTTCAAATGACCCCAGGAACCCCCCGTTTCTCGCTTGTACAATAATCTTGGTACACTCTGTATAGATTTTTACTCCAAAGAGATAGGCTCTGAGCTTCTATTTTCGGACGCGTTCCACGCTTATTTATTTCGAGCTGTCATCGTTATTCATATCCAGGCTATTCCCTCGGCGAAAACAAAAAGAAAAATGACTCTCTGCCGGAGCTCTTTTCTGTCCTGAAAAACGTGATTTTTCCACGATGATCCATTGGCTGTTCCCGCCTATTCCTGTCTAGTAATAAATCGTATGGAATGAAACAGAGGCGAGGTCACGATAACTTCATTTTATTTCGCGACTATACTTTCTTATTTTAGATAACCCAGCCGCTGATTTATTTCGAAATATTTTATTCATGAGGCCATCATAATGTTACTTCACCATTTCATCTTCTCCTTATTTTAGCTCATATTAGTTCTACCATCCGCTGTTCATTTATAAAACCATCATAAATGAAATCGAAGATCCTTCATCTATCAAAAGATCGGTCATACTGACTTCGTTACTGTTTTATTTGCGAAACTATCATAAATAAAGTCAAATATCTTTCGCCTATCGGAAGCTACATTCTACTTCGCCTGATCTCCAATTTCGAGATCCATGTCTCGACTTCCGTTTCACCCGGTAGACCGGTCCTCGTCAACTTCAATAGGCAGACTTCGCAGCGGCGATCTCCGCCATCTAATTCCATCCCATTCTACTTGGCCGCGGACACCTAAACCCGCCCACGCGTCGTCTAATCCAGCGGCTGTTATCCACCGACACCTCTCTCTCTCTCTCTCTCTCTCTCTCTCTCTCTCTCTCTCTCTCTCTC